CCCAAAGTTTGATCTTTTGGGATGGTGGAAAGCAAATTCAATCAAATTTCCTATACTATCCAAACTAGCTAGACATGTTTTGGCAATGCCGATCTCGACAGTTGCATTGGAATCAACGTTTAGTACGGGTGGTAGAGTTATCAACAAGTATAGAACTTCACTTAATACCGAAAACCGCGTAAGCTTTGATTTGTGCACAAGATTAGATAAGGCGTACAAGGGTTGATCTTGAACTCAGTTTGTTCTATGAAGAATAAAGACATAGATGAGTTTAATGAGAAAATGGAGGGTTTAAAAATTGGTAAGGTTTTCTTTATATGTTTGAGTTCATATTTCAAATATACTAATATATATTTTTTCTTTTTTTTTTCTTCTAGGAAGCACTAGTGGAAAATGATGGATTTTGGCTAAGTTGTGGAAGTTGTGGATTTTGGCTACTGATGTCTATTGTCTGATCGATAGTTGGAAAATGAAAAACTAGAAAAACTTTATATTTTTTCTTATTTAATCTGTTGCAAGTTTATGGATTTTGGGCCAATCTAGTGGCTAATGTTGTTGACTTGTTTAAACTTGTAATTTCCTACTTTGACTTGTTGAAAATTGTGCCATTTAAATTGCTACTAGCCTACTGCCACAGTGAATCATAGAAACCATGGTGAATCAAAGTGTACCAATAACATCCAAGTACATCAGAGTAATATAAAATGCGGAACGATGTGGTGTGTGCACTACAATCATCCCGGGCTCTTTCCCTTCGAACCAAAAGTACATGAAACATAAATTGAAATATGTAAGCACAAAGCTTAGTGAGTTCCCTAAAATACCACACACCATACATATCAAACATATAATGGGTCGCGTCATTCATCGCGCCTTGCCTGGCATTAGACCTCGCCCGGTATACATATTGTAACTTCCCAAGTTTTGTCATTTATAGTCCCTGGGGATGGAAGGGTGAAACCATGAGAAGCCTAAGGGCTAAGTTGCAATTTTGGGACCAGGAGGAGTACGCTGCGCGTATATAAGGGTACGCTGAGCGTACTAGGCGCGCCCTAGTATGCTGGGTGTACACTTGTGTATGCTGGGCGTACTCATGTTAGAAGGAAACCCTAATATTTAGGGTTTGGGGGCTATATAAGCAACATTATGAGCACAAAACCCTCCCTTACCTCAGCCTCCACTGTTTAGAGCCATTTTCCCCAAACCCTATCCATTTCCTCAAGTGTGTGAGCTTATTGAGTGTTTCTTGAGTGTTTTAAGAAGAAGGTGTTGCATTAAGGAGTTGGAGAAGAAGATCAAGCTTGTAGATCTGAAGTCGGGTTGTGCCCTAGAAGCTCCAGAAGGTAAAAAGCTTCAAACTTTATGCATATATGTATAGATCTTGCCATTGTTGCTTTAAAGAACCATTTCTTGTCCCAAAAAGTCCCAAGATGGTGCATGAGGTGAGTTATCATCATCGTACTCAAGGGTCTAAGGCACCAAGGTCGGCCCTTTGAAGTGTTATTTGGAATTGATACTGTTATGATATGTTAGATCGGTATCCTGGTAGATAGGATGGTTATATGTTGGTATGCTCTGTTAGATCGGTATCCTGGTAGATAGGATGGTTATATGTTGGTATGCTCTGTTAGATTGGTATCCTGGTAGATAAGATGGTTATATGTTGGTATGCTCTGTTAGATCAGTATCCTGGTAGATAGGATGGTTATATGTTGGTATGCTCTGTTAAGATCAGTATCCTAGTAGATATGATGTGGTTATGCTTAGAGACCTGTAGTTGGTCTGACTGTCTGTATGCTGGTAGGAGATTACATGTTATATGTGCACATGATTGATTGGTAGTTGAGGGTATTCCATCCTGAGGATGATAGGACCCTAGTATGTTGTCTCTATATACTGTTATATGATTATCTGATATAGGTGCACATATTTGATTGGTTATGGTCATTCCAACCCGATGGTTGTGGGCTATGAGTATTCCATCCCGAGGATGATTGGACTCATAGTAGGTGGGCATTCCAACCCGATGGTTGTGGGCATGGGGTATTCCATCCCGATTGATGATTGGACCCATAATATCCGTTATATATGTATTGTGTATGG